GGGAAGCTTGTACCCCGGATGGATTATCAACTCAGGCACTAGATAAGGAAAAGCATTGCTTACTAGAAGACTTGATCCAGTGACTCCATTTCAGAGTTTCCACAGCAAAGAGCAGAAGCCTGGAGCTGAGGAGTTGTTTTTGAGCCAGGTAGCCCCAACCCCACTCCAGATAGCCTCAAGGCACAAACAACCCAGACCTCCAAGGGGAGGCATTCTCAAACAAAGACAGGGTATGGTGATACAGTGTTGTGACATTCAGATCAAAGACAGCTGACCCTCACAACAAGGACTTTGAACTCCATGGCAGGACTCTTTAGATTACTCCTGTTTGTACAAGGAAGGAAGGAAGCAAGATGTCAGGTGCTGTGTGGAGGAAGAAGGGAAAATATGGTATCATTGGTCAAGAGAAGGGACTTCTAGAGACCCGTAGGACACACCTCAATGGCACTTGACATGGTAGCACTCTGAAGCATCAGAACACCCTGAGATCCCACATGAGTTTCATGTATCCATGCTGCAGCACGGTTGAGAAATGAGATAGAGTGTGGCGAGGGGCAAGCACACACTTTCCACGCCATCGCTGCCATAAGGAATCTTCCCCACTGCCACCATGAGGGGAGAAACAGCCTGAGGTGTGGAGATTAATGGGGATGACAAGGCCCAGATGGGGTAAAGGCCAGGTCAAAATGAACCCTAGGCCCTGGAAGTCAGAATGATTCCTCGTGTCAGCCACATACCTTGTGAGCACATCCGGGTACTGGGTCTCTTGGAAAACGGCCTCCATTTCCTGCACCTGCCACTGCGTGAAGGAGAACTGGACTTGGTGCCTCCTGGGATGGCGCCTTGGAACCTCGGTCACCGCGAGGGCTGCCTGCTCTGCACCCAGCTCTACGGGCTCCTGGCTGCTCTGGTCACCTTCAGGACCCGTGGGGTAAGGCCTCACCGGGCCTGGCTGGGTCAGGTTGCCCTGTTGTTTCTCACTGTCGTCCAGGCTTAGCGGGCCTTCACAGACGTTGCTGTCCACTGGGGCTGCTGCCCCCAGCTCAGGGTAGAGGCGGCTGTCCCCCTCAGAGTCCTCCAGATGATAGTAGAAGTTGTCACTGTAGTTGTGGAGGGGCTCCATGGCTGCTGCTCTTTGGAGACCTGCACCCTGCTGAAGTCTTTGGCAGCAGCCCTGCCCTGGTGGCTTTCAGTAGGTTGGGTTCACAAAGGCTCAGGGCCTCCTATTTCAAGAATGCTATTGGCTCGCTGAGTGCTTCCCACCCCAGTGGGCGGTCCTCTTTAGTGAGAATGGGCTATCACAAGGCCCCAGTGAGTGGGCACAGGGAAAGTGGATTCACACACACACACACACACACACACACACACACACACACACACACTGAATCTTAACTTTAGTATACCCGCTCAGATCCAGCTACCTGCCCTGGCCACTGCTCTAGGACACCAAAGGGGACCTTGGGAACATGGCGTTATTGCAAGCTGATTTTAGCATGGCGTATGGCGAAGAGGAGGGGAAGACGCACAATGAGCACTCAAGTCTTGGGTGAACGACTGGAGAATTTCTCCTTATCCCACAGCCAGATATGCAAGCTTTCCCTGAGGTTTTTTTGTTTTTGTTTTTGTTTTATTTTGTTTTGTTTTGGTTTTGGTTTTTTTTTTTTTTTTTTTGTTTCGTTTTGTTTTTTTTTTTTTTTTGCTGTTTTGTTTCGTTTTTGTTTTTTTGTTTTGTTTTTTGTTTTGTTTTGTTTTTGGTTTTTTTTTTTTTTTGACAGTGTGTCATGTATTCTAGGCCAGCCTGAACCTCACTTTGTCCCACACTTATCATATATGTTAAGCTGGGCTGGTATCTTACTCTCCTAGTTTTACACTGTCCCAAGGGACACAGGTGTACATTGAATTGTCTGGCTTTTCATTAATTAAGTATAAAAACGTGCTATTAGAAACATAGCCTCAGCTGCCTGTAGAGCTGTATCATGGCTAGACTGCCCCAGGAATGCTAAGTATATTGAGGGATAAATATCTTAACCTGTAAGAGTGAATACCGTGCCTGAATTAAAAAACCCTTGACAAATAAGGCCAGATGGGACCTGACTGAAGTAGGTTGTTGGTTTTGAGTCAAGAGACACCCTTTTGTTGCAGGGGGACAAGGAACATTGCTACTTCTGGCTGAAACAGCTTGAGAGAAAGATCCAGAAAGTAAGGACTGAGGCAGGCATATGGTGGCATGTTTATAGTTCGGTCAACAGGTGCAAAGTACTTTAAGAGCCCAACAAACCCAACAGTAAGAGAGGACTCTCTGAGCCCCGGATGTTGGATCTCCAACTTTAGCAAGCTCGAATGTCCAGGGGAAGCATAGTGCCCTCAGGAGGAAGGGCCATGTAGATTTTGGAAAGCTGGATGAGGGTATGTTTGCAGAATTTCCTCAACGAACACCAAAAAGTCTTTTTGCCTGCTCATGCAATCAAAGTTCTTTCCCCTAGCCACAAACCACAGGCAGTACTCAGACCATCAGGAACACAGAACCCTTTTGAACTGGTGTTTACCCAGTCTCCCCACAAGCACTGCCATGTTCTATGCTGGTGCCCTGTTACAGACTCACTCGAATGGGTCGCTTGCACAGCACTGTGAGCTACAGAAAATCTATGCCTCATCTAATAGATAGCAAGGCCAGCCAGAACCCGAGGCAGGCATGTGGTCGCTTAGAGCATGCCTCAACAGGATCTGGCCCTGCTGCTGGGTCCACGGGTTGTGTAGCAATTTCCTTCAAGATAAGACATTCCATCTTGGAGTAAGGTTCCTGAAAACATTAGACATCCCAAATGCAGGTGAAACCTTTCATAGTACAGGAGAGATGGCTGCCACACAGGAAATAAGAGGATCCAGAGCCTAAACTGGGCTTAGGAGATGTTTCTTAATGTTTCCTCAGCCTCCTAAGGAAGAGGGTCAACAGCACAGCCTACTTCCATACTGAGGACTACAAGGCAAGAATCCATAGTCTGCTGAGGCACAAGACGCCACCCCTAGGTCTGGTTCATGGAGCCATCAGGCCCTGTGAAATGGCTGATCTCTGCAAGGGGCGGTCTGGGAGTGAAGCTGGTCATCAGGTAACACTGCACCTGGAAGGTTGGTGCCAAGTGCCCTAATGGAACTCCAGAAAAACATCTTTTACTGCAGCATCAAATGTGAGGCCTCAGGACCCCTCCTCCTGTGTCCCTATGTTCCCGGTGAAGCCATCTCCCCTGTCTGCTTCTGCAAGTGTGGCCCCCACCGATGGAACTTGTTGATTATCTTACGATAAAGATGATTGCACAACACCATCCAGAAGTCTGTTAGGAGCAGAGGTCCTGGTGGTAGGGGCAGCTGCGGCAGTGCCTGGGGACTGGGGTCGGGAAGGTGGAGGCCTCTCTGATGTAGCAAGCCTTCTTGCTATGCAGAAACGGTGGCAGCTGGAAGCAGACAGGAGCACAGGCTCCCTGGAGACATTCTGAAACCCCTGGAAGCCACTGCTTCCTGTAAATCCTTACAAGACGGAGAACTGTTTTCAGACTACTCCAAAACCCCACGGGACTGTGAGATGAGCACTGAGTTCACAGCCTATGGGCAGGGACTGTGCTCAGACTTCGTTCCTCCGACTAGAGCCCCTTTCTGCTCTTCCACATCAAAGACAAACGGGGGACCCAAAGCTTCTGATCCTACCAGCTTTGTATATCTCCATGCACCTCATGTCTTCTGGCCAGCAAACATTGGATTTGATTTGTGGGAGGTGATGTTTAGTACAGAGACCCCCGACTGGTCAATGTGCAGCACCAAGTAAGAGATGGCAGGGCACTCGGGTCTAAGTCGGAAGTCACTATCATACATCTTGTTATCACAGGCACTGGGACCACGAGGAAGACTGATGGGACATTCTTCGAGCCAGGGAGGTGTTGATCTGTGAGACAATATTATTTGCTTGACATGAAATTTGGTGATCTCAGATTCAGGCTCATGGACCCAGCCCTAGCGAAATTCTGAAACCTGCTACCACAGGAAGGGCTCTCTAGTCATCGGGTTGGGAGACGTCATAGAGACCCAAGACACAATAGGGTGTATCTGCAGCAGCTGAGGTTCCTGAAGCACTCTAATTCGCAGAGACAGAAAACAGACTGTGGTTCCAATGGCCGGAGCCCTGGATATGGGGACAGTATCATGTGGGAAGTTGGGCGATGTAAGCCTAGGCCACACCTGTTCATCTCACTAAGATGAACTTTGTTTAGTTGGAACTGCAACTTCTGCACGTATGGACGGAAGCAATACTGCTTCTCCGTGCACCAACTTACTGTTCTGGAGCAACCTTGTTTTCAAATCAGAGCTGTATGACGCAAAAGTCCCCTATATCAGGCATACTGAGGTTGCTTCAAGGCAAGTGACAAAATGCAGACAGAGGTCACATCAGTCAACGTCTCTGAGCAGTCAAGCCTGGGACCACATGCTCCCTAAGCTGGACCGGCAGACACGAGGCAGCGACCTCCCTGTGGCCGGCCTGCATGGGTGGATCCTCCCCTCTTTGAAGCAGCAGAACAATGGCCAGTGTGCCTTGTATTGCTGCTGATGTCCGCAGCGAGGCGGAAAGCACACATGATGTTCCCCCATTCCTCCTGCTCCAAACCTGGGAGGAGACTCCAACAGAGTCCAGAGTGGGACTTCATAGAGTTTAGGTGGGAGCAGCCACGTCAAGAAACACACTGTCCTCTACTTGCAACAGCTATCCTTGTAAGTAACTTGTTCCACAGAGATTGAGTTGACAAGACCATGATGGTGGGGGGCAGGGGGGTAAAATAACCATGTCAGCATGAAGCAAATCTACCTCACTCCACGAGGCACAGTGTCTGCTACTGGCCAATGTCACCTCATAACTCAAATGCCATTTCTGGGACCGAATATTATTCAAATACTTATACTCCCATTTTAGATAACATCAAAAACAACGGAAGCAACATATCAACAATTCAGCTCTTTATTGCAGAACATATTTCAGGGAAGATAGGGTTGTCATGGCCAGTATGGGTGGCCGACACATAGGTAGGGGGCAGGGACAGGCTCCAGGACATCTGTCTCCTGGACAGGGATGGCACTCAAGTGCTGCTCCAAAATCCTCAGGCATCCTTTTTGTGGGGACCAGGTACGACCTCGCTCAGCATGGCTATTCTACTATTTCTTCTGAAAATGGCTCTCCTGTTCCTAAACCATTCCTACAAACAGAAGAAAGGGTTGTGTTAGGACACTGAACAGGCTAAAAGTGTATGAAGTCTGAAGGACACGTCCTGTGTCTGTCCAGCCTGGCTCGATCTTTACTAACATTTCAGAAGGTATATGGAACCCATCCTGATGTATGCGAGCTAGGTATGTGTCTGTCATTGAGCTTCTCAGGTAGCAAAACCCCACATCTTTCCATTGCCCAGAACCAATCTGTTCATTTGTCTTACACTGTGAAGCATTGAACACCTACCTCAAGTGTATACTGCTTGTTGGGCAGGCTGGAAGCAACAGGTTTCATTCTCATTGAAACAACACAAACACCCCCCCCCCCCAGTTGCCCCTGAGGACATGCAGTGCTACACCCAGTCAGTCCTCTAAGCTATGGAAGGGACCGAGAATATTGCCTCTTCTCCATCAATTAATATTTTGAATCCATTCTTTTCAGCAAAGGATGCAGATCAGCTCATGGGTTGTTCCTGGTCTTTGCTAGGGAAAAGTATCCAAAACTGTTCTCTTGGAGCCTGGACGGCCCGAGGCCATCCGTCATAGGCTCTACAATTTCAGCGTCTGTCAGCACCCAGAGTGCACATTTTGTGAGACAAAGGGCACTTCGTCCTGCTCTGTGCTTCCTTCTCCGCCTCCCAGCATACTGCCTATGGGCCTTTCCCCTTGTGGGCATGTGGTCTGGAAAGCCAGGGCTCAATGTAATAGTGATCAAAGTGCATCCACAGAACCAAGGGAATACAGGTAAAAGAGCGGCAGGCAGTTTGAGGCCCCTGGTCCCAGTACTGTTTGAGCACTAGGCCTGGAATCCGACATTACGTGTTGGAGGAAGGAGATGTCAGAGAACTTTTTCCTGTGACATGCCGAGGGAAAGAGTTGAAGGTGGGCAAGGACATGGTCTCTTCACTTATGGGCTGTACAGCTTTCTCATAGAGATCACACTATGTCCAAAGAAGGTCAGACAGAGCACCGAGATATCTCAGTTTCTCCGCTGTCCTCTCAGCCTTCACTGCCTGAGAAAATGGCGGTCTTGCACCATCTTGAACCTAGCCTGGCTGTGCACTGGGCTGGCACCCTGCAGGCACCCACGCCAGTGCTACAGTTTTCTTCTCGACAGCAACAAGACAAGATGGCAGCCCTTCCAATTGATTTCTTTTTAGGATACTGACCTGCACATCAGCTTCCGACACACCCATCCATCTTGCTAGATCCTTCCTGTAGTGAAAAGAGTCCAACATTTAGGCTTTGTGGTAGAAATAAGGGTGTAAGGACATGCCCTATTTGCTTTGATATGTTTGGGTATATGCTGGCAAAAGCACACATGCACACACACACACTTTTTACAGCTACCCTGAGACTTGTTTGAGCAACTGGCTTCTTTCAGGGATGAAATTTAAGAGCGCTTCCCCCAAAACAGTTCCCTATCTGATATACTAAAATGGAAACTTCATTAAGAGGGCCTGTACCATGAAACGTGTTATCAAAATTTGGAATCTGAGGTGGAATCCCTCCTGCATTCTTCCAGCCACACCTCAGGCCTCTCAGTCATCTTCACAGAGACTCATTTAGAACAAGCATTGTCTAAATTTCCCACTCATGTGTCACTTAAACAGGCAACAAAGCATATTCTTTCCCAGTTGGAATACGGCCCATCCCCCTATTCCTGATTCCGATTTCTGGTGGAGGGTCCAAGTTGGGTGACTGTTTGTGGACCAAATCAGAGGAACCGGGACTGCCAGAGGACACTGTGGACAGATGTGATGCCTGCATACCAGGTGGCCAGCAGGGAACTCTACCGCTTACCTTGCTCGCAAGCTGGGGTAGCGAGTCTCCTGGAAAAGATGCTCCAGATCCTGCAGCTGAGACAGGGTGAATCTGGTGCGGCGCTGGACAGGCTGCCTGTCCCCAGCGCGTAGACTCTTGCTGCCCTCAGGCATGGCAGCCTCTTGCTGAGGCTGCTGTTGAGCAGCGCCGCCATGGGCACCGTCCCCTCGGATCTCGTTGTCCACGGGGCCAGAGCTACCATCGCCAGCATGTCCTCTTCCCATTTCTTCTTTGTTTTCTCCCTGCTCTGCCACTCCTGTGGCTTCCTGAGCAAGACTGAGCTGAGCAGGCTCTTCTTGAGCAAGCTTGCCTGGAGCGAGGTCGCCCAGAGCAAGTTTGCCCTGATCAAGCTCACCCTGGGCAAGCTTGCTCTCTACAAGCCCATGCTTGCCCCCTTCCTCTTCGGCCTTCAAGACCATTGCATTCCCACCTGAAAGGGAGAAAAGCACAAAGATCTGTTGAGCATCGTGGCCCAGGGACCATTGGAAAGCCTGGAGAGGGCCACAGGCAGAGCTGGGTAAGGAAGGGAATGGCCTCTCCAGCAGATTTGCTTCCTGGACCTCGGCAAAGTCCAGTCAGAACCAGTTTACTGACCATGCTGTTGTTCTTGGTCCTCACCAGCTCCCTGACCCATCATCTTGTCCGAACCGTGGCAGTCGTCTTGGCGAGTCTCCATACCGGTAATCTTTCGATCAGACCCGAGTCCCGAAGCTCCCAAAGCTGCGTCCTTACAGTTCAGCCGCCAGACAGCTCTGACGCTTAACCCGGAAGGGTTGTCTTTTGGGGCCTCAACCAAATTACAATGTGTCCAATTACACATTCGTCCTGCCTTCCTGCACAGCCTCAGTGGCTGTGGGCTTGTCCTCTCAGATTCCTAAACAGAGCAGTTCAGGGCTGCAAAGAGCAGGGAGGACTTAAGAAAAAAATAGGCAGCGCGTGTGCGCATGGCTCCAAGATGCCGCTTCCAGGACACCTCTAGCTAGCCTTGGGTAAGGCTGGACTCTTCGAATTCAGTCACCCGGGTTAACACAAAGACCTTCTCGAGCTCAGCAGGCCCTTGAGTCCTGCTAAATAATTTTATGAAATTATGCAAACTTCATTCAAACAAAGGGACAAAGACACATCCCTTAAGAAGGTGGTACAAATCAGACACTACCATTCATGCCCCTCGTAGTGGATTGGCCAGGTGTACACACCCTCTTCTCGCGGTACCTCGCTTGGAAGTGTGCCTTGAAGAGCCCTTTGGGGTGGCAAAAATGTGGGAAAGCCAGGTCAAGACCCTCCCGCGAGACTGTGTTCCCAGCAGAGCTGAATTCCACCAGCATTCCCAGGCTCGTTCGGAAGGAGACTTTTCTCTGCCTGGCAGGGCTTGCTTGGCTCAAGGACCTAGGGTGACCCAAAGATATCTGTGGGCATCCAAGAGCGACCTTGGGCACTGGCTCCAAACTTGTTTTGCAGCTTGGAAGGTGAAAGACAGGAAGAGGAAGCGATTCTGGATGCAAGCGCTGCAAAGACGTTGCAGGAAAGGGGGAAACTGGAGAATAGTTAGAGAAATTCCCCAGAGTGGGTGAAGTTCCCAAAATGTAAGAAAGCCACTGAGCGCTGTCTTTTAGTGGCTTTCTTGTTTACGATGATCGTGACAGAGTCTGGACAATGGCTGAGGTAATTGTTAGGAGATGGGTTATTTCTCGGGGATGGCGTAGGCTGAGACAGTGACAAGCCCAGGGTACACATGGTCTCGCTCACACAAGGAAATGATCATGCTGGTTCACCTATTGCTCACCTAGTCAGGGGTGGCTCGACGTTTCCCACCCCCATCCCCAGGTCCCTTTGTTCATCCCTGACTAAGGCTTTGTTAGTTGTTGACCTTGACAGTCTGGTAGCAATCGCCACGGGATGGCCTTGCAGCATGTGACATTTCAGCTGTCCAGGTTGCTTTTAATTATACCCAGCAATCTCTCTTCCCCCGGCTACCCAGAAGCACCTGGCCCCGTCCTTCCCTTTCTCCTTGTTCCGGGTCCTTGTGAAAGGCCTTGCTGAAGCAGGGAGGACAGGAGGCTTCTCAGAGTCTTTCTGTACTTACTCTCACAGGTAGCCGCTGCACAAGGAGGCTGTATGAGCAAACAGTGTCAGCGGTGCTTTCCTGAAGGACTTGGTGGGTTGCCCAACAACACCAGCTGGGAGTCCTGTCCTTATCCGTGGGAGTCAGTTTGGAAGTCACACTGAGCTGTAGAAAGTCTCTGCTTCTCATCTTCCGAGTCCCTGGCTTGGCTGCTTCATCGCATCCCTGCTTTGAGCCCAAGCATGCCTGCAACATATGTGAGCAACTGGTAGATTTGAGCATGAGTGATGTTTCCTCACTGTGGACAGAGTCCTTGCTGGTGCATCAATCCCAACCGTGCCTTCTGAGATAAATTTCCCAAGATGCTGTTCCCAAGGTGTTGGAGAAACAGGTAAGCCCTGGTGCATTCAGTGCAGGCAGGTTCTGTTCCTTCCTCCCCTTCCTGCTGTGCTCATAGGGCACTGCGTGTGTTCTTTTCTTTCTGCAGTCTCCTCCCAGGGCTTAGCAAAGGAGTGATGAAGAGGGATTTTCCTGTCTCATAGTGGACTCAGCACCCTAAAAATGGATGCTTGCTGGAGGAGCTGTGGAGGGCACTGTGGAGTACCTGACAGTGTCCCTTTTGGTAACCACAGTGTGGTATGTTGGGTCATAGGATTAATAACTGATTGGAGGAGTCAAAAAGAACCAGAGAGTGGCAGGTTTGGAGTAGGCATTGTTTAGCAATGTAAGCCAGGGTAGCTAAATTGATTGAGTCAGGTCCTCAGAGTCTGATTTTTATATTTGGGCCTTGGTGAAGTTCAGTCTGGTTCATGTATTTGCAGAGAGGCTGTGTGTAGGAGTTTTAGGCTCATCAGGTGTTATTTAAAATCCCAGTGGATGAATATGGCTTTGAAAACTGAATGAATCTCTGTATCTCTTTGTCTGTGTCTCTCTGTCTGTCTCCCTCTCTCCCCTCCACTGTGTGTGTGTGTATGTGTGTGTGTGTGTGTGTGTAATGCTAGCACTTTCATCCAGGTACTCTTTTGTTCTGGGAACACAGATCATCATAGTGGAGCAAATGAACCTGGGTGGGGAGGAACTTGGTGGTGGTGGGTCCTCAAATCTGTTTCCCTTCCAGCTCGTGCAATCCAGCCTTTTGTCCAGCTTTCCCAGTTTGTGTCTATAGGGTGTGGTGGCTAGTTGTTGGGCAGCCTGGGGAATTAGTGATAAGTCTTATCCTTACAAGGCCTCATAACTTTCTGGGCGATGTCATCTTCCATGTAAAGTGAGATTGCTAAAGGCCTATGTAGTGGACGGTGAGTTCATGGTACTATCATGACTTTTTGACATAGTTGTGGGTAAGAATTTGGGATGAATGGGACCTCAATGGACAGGGATAACTCCCACTTGGTCCCTGTTTCTCTTGCTCCTATGCTGCAATGCAGTGGGTGCAGATGTCACAGCTTTGCTCCCCGGATTAATCCATGGATTCTTGTACCTCAGGGATACTTGGTTATGAGTCCCACAGCGGGGTCTTGAGTGTCTGTCAGCTGAATGAACTCTTTTTTGAGGGGACCCATGTGTACTTTACCTCTGCTGAGGGCTTTATCATGGTACCTTCACAGCATGTATGTATCTTAGCAACTTTCTAATGTGTTAGGTTTCTATCCTGGCCATCAAATAGTTTTTACCTTCCCTTCCCTGTTTGATCCTCCCATTGCAGCCCCCACCCATAAATATCAGTTCTGTTTCCCTTTCCTAACAAGGTCTATGTGTTCGTTCTAGTCTTTTCCTCTAGACCTACCTTCTTGGCAGAGAAAAAGAACCCATTACTATACTCCTAGACGGCATCATTTGAGGTCTCATCTGGGACTCTGTTTTAACTATAATGTCATTCTTAAATTAGACCCGTTCTGTAGGAGGGGAGGGAAATGGATTCAAATTTCATATGGTCAGCTTTTCTTTCATTCAATAATCATCCCATGGAAAGCCCTCCCCTGAGAATTCTATGCTCCTCACAGGCCTTCAATTCTCTACCCATGCTTCTCTCTCCTATAACCCCCTCAGGCCTCAGGAAATATAGTCTCCCCTTACTCAGGAGAGCCATTTCTGATTATTCACCATGCTGACCCTTCCCTACTCACAGTAATGTCCCCCCATCCTGGTGAATGAAAGGCAATTTGCACCAGAATTAGCCCATCTCTCATTTTCCTTCTCGGAGCTAAGTGATAAGACAGGCTGTGGAGCAGCTCAACTGAGCAAATAGACTTTTAAACAAATTACTGAACTCTATGATTTTGTCTGAAAAGATGTGATGTGACTTATAGACATACTTAGACCCCATTTGTGGGGGGAGATGTAGGGGAAATAGTTGAGGAGAATATTGGAGGTTTAAATTTAAAGGAAGCCAAGAATACCCTCCCACACTCATATTATTAAAAACTGACTGACTTCCCTTGTATTTGAGCTCAATATCCACTCCAGAGTTTCAACAGATGAAGGCTCCTGAACAGGCAAGGTAAAATTCGGGGTGGGGGATCACTTAGGCTATGCATAGTCAGTGAGAAAAAAATAGTCTAATTGACTTCTCCTTTTATTCTTGCTAATGGAAGACAGAACAGGACACTTCTGTGTCACCGATAAAGAAAGGAGTGACTAGTCTAACCGGTCATTCCTTTCTGTGTGGTCACCAAGAAGGGAAAGATAAGGGGAAAACTCGAGGGGATGCTTTGGAGGACAAAGAAGACACAGGAGGCATTCTGATATATGTTCCTTTTGTCTTACAGAGAGGCAAGATCATTTTAGCCTGCAGCAGTTAGCTTGTATTGGTTGGAAGGAATGCCTGGTGTTTCTCTGCCCTTAGTCTAGTCTAAAATTAAGACTAAAGCATTTTAAGTGACGTCAGTTAAAGTATTATATTTTCTTAAAGCTTAATCTCTGTAAGTTTTCCAGGCTGTCTGCCTATACTTACATGTTTGCTTAAGGTTTTTAGACAGCTAGTCACTCCAAATTGAGAAGGGAAGATCTCAGGTTGGATAAATCTGTTAGCTTGATCCTGCTTAGACATGAGTGCAAACTGCCGTGCACCTATGTATGACCTTGCAAGGTTAAAAAACAGAGGTTGATCCTTCCAAACCAACTGCTCTGTCTCAGACAACACTCCAAACGAGGAAATGCTTTCTGTCTCTTGTCAGTCCCCATTCCCAACAGATAAGACACATTTGGACAAGTCTGTGCAGGTTATAAGGAAGGACAGATGGTTAGGGTCCAGCCTGCAGTTGCCGAACTCAACATGAAGCCTCTGGTCCTGTCTTGAAACCACTCTCTCTCCCCCACCAAAAAAAAAGCACTGAGCAACTTCTCTGATCCTTCCAAACAGTAACCATTTTCTACCTTCAATTTTGTATAAAGACACATGATGTATTTTCGTAAACAGGTTACACTGGTAAATTGCCAGGTACTGTTCATGCTTACTGGGACATAGGCTTTGGTTAACCATGTCCCACTTCAGACCCCAGCATGGTGTCACAAAATGTCCTCCAAAGCCCCCTTTCCAAAGTCAGGCTCCCCACTCCCGAGTCTGTGACATGAAAAAGGAAAGCAACAAGACAGGTCAAGGATCAAAGCATTGTGCCCTCTAGACCATTTCCAGCAAAGGTCACTGTTGTATCATGTTGTAAAGATGCTTGCAGTGCACACAGCTAAGGAGGTGCTCATCCACAGATGGGACACAGAAGACTTCCCTACTAAGAGTATTGTAATCAATTCCAGTGAAACACTCTTAACAGGGCTTCCTCAATTCATTCCCTGTAGGTG